ATATTTATAAAATTAAATAAAGTATTAACACATTAAGTTTATATTAATTTATTATTTTGAGTTTTACTTTAAAAAATTATGACATTATAAAAGATTAATCGAAAATAAAAATTTTGTATATCTTTCCCTTTCTCTTAAAAGTTTAACTCCCAAACACACTTTTAGTAAAATAATATTAAAACAATCTAATAAGAAATAAATAAATTACAAAAATATAACAAAAAATATAATAATCAACAAAAGAATACTATAAAATAAATAAATGATATAATAAAAATTTAAATAATAATAAATGCATATAAACAGTTATTTTACCATATAGGATTTTAGGAAAGGATTATTACTTATTATTAAAAAAATACAAATCTAATATTGTAAATGCATAAATAAAATTTTATTATTTGTTATTTCTAAAAAATCAAAATAATTGTTAACCATTCACATCAATAAATAAATACTCATCATTTAATTGTATAAAATAAAAGGTCAAATTCATTATTTAAAGATGCATTTAAAATAATAAAATAAAGTTTATTTGAAAATCATTTCATATTAAATATTTTGTAGATTTGAATAAACATTGTTCGTTTTTAAGGCTTATATATTTAATTCATCTTTTATATTATTTTAAAAAATATTCATAATTAAATGATTTTAAGAATTAATATAATATATTTTTTGTATAAAATATTAAAAAAATTTAAACTTTTCTTAAAATTAAATAATATTTGTATCAAAATGTTGAAAATAAAAAAATTTATTGCACACAAATATAAATAATTAATTTATTTTAGAAATATATTTTAATATTTTATTTTTTAAAATAGAGTATATTAAAAAATATAAACATAATTGTGTTTATATTAATAAAATAAATGTAATATAATTACAAAATATTGTATTCAAATTATATTAAAAACTAAATTACCTATATAATCAATACAAGATATACTTAGTATTGATTTTATCCGTCCATTATATATTGTATAAAATAATATATAATGAATAAAATATGAAAAATTATTTTAAAATTTAAATTATTCATGTGATTTTTTTTATTTTACTTGATTTTATAAATTTCATATTTATTCTTTAAAAAATAGTTTTTAGAAATGATTATCTATCTTATTATAGTCATGTTACTATTTTATTTATTTGGTATTTTATTTAATATTTATTTATAGTTTTGTTCCTTTTAAATACTATTACTTCAATTTAGTCAATCTCAATTCGAATTTATCTTTTAAAACTTGTTAATATACGGGAAAATTACTGGTTGTGGTTATTTAAATTGTTTTTTATATGGTAAAAATGTTGTAAGGCTTTTGATTAATACATATATTTGGGTGGGCGGTAGTAAACATTTTAGAATTTGGTCATGTTTTATATATATGCTCATCTCTAAATGACCAAAATCAATGCATTAAATTCATGGTTGAAGATATTGAAGATTTTAAAAGTCAAAGCGTAAATTATGTATATCTAACTATATAAAATATGTTGAGGCAACAAAATTAAATTTGTTTGTTTTCTCAAAAGTTTCCTAAAAGAATATTTAGGTGAGTCTTTTGTCAGTCAATTTTCCGTTCAACGGATTTGTTTGCATTCAATATTTGTGATAGCTAATTAGTATATATAATATACAAAATTTTAAACTTTCTAATTGATAATTTTATGAAAAATTTATATTTGAAACATTCATAAAAAATATTTGATAAATAATTATTATGATAAATTTAAATTTTTAGCGTGTTTAATAGATAGTGGTGTTGTCATGTAGTAAGATCTATGCTGATAAGAGAAATGATCTAGTATAATAGATATAGATAAATAAAATTGTTATTAATTAAATAGAATATGTAGTTTAATATGAAAAACAAATTTTAATGATAAACAAATAGTTTATCTTTCATAATTTTATTTTATTTTAAGACTATAAAAATAATACTAAAAATGTCATTAACGATCTTAAAAGAGATAATAAATAAGAAAAATACGACCTATGTTATTAAAATATATGAAAAATAATGTGTTTTACGATTAAAAAACTCTAAACAATAAGAAGACAGTTAGTGATTAGAAGAGGGACAAAAAATTAGAAACATTAGTTGTGGATTGCAGTAGTTGTGTAATATAACATACATAAGAAAGTGAGGTTATTTTTCTAGCATAACTTTTTTTTTTCCTGTTCTGGGAATCCGTCCTTTTAAGTTTTATCCATTAATTTAATGGTTGGAAAAAAGTAAAAACATTTTAAAACATAAAAAATAAAAGCTTATTTCAAAGAAAGAAAATAAAAATAGTAAAATTTAAATAAAAAACAATAACAAAATCTAACTTTAAGAAATAAGAAAAAAAAGGTAAAAAACGTTCAAAATATAAAAGAAAGATTAAATATTATTTTAGGCTACATCTAACGTGAGTTAGTAATTATATAACAAAATCTCATTTTAGTTTGTTAATAATAAATTTAAAATTTACCATTATAAATTATCTACGGCATTTTAAATAATTAAATTATTATTTAAGTTTACAGGTCACTTTCTCTTCTCTAATCACGAATTATGCTTTCTCTCAAAATCTTAATACAAAATTAGAATTTAAATAAATAATCAAAAAAGTCAAATCGGATTAAAAAAAACTTGTGACATTAATTTTTTTTTGAAAAAAAAAAGTGCTGACAATAAAAAAACAAAAAGAATGAAAATGAAAATGCAAGCAATAATTAAATTGAAGTTAATTAGACTTAAAAGTGAATGTCAAATTTCACACCAAATCAAAAGATACATAGTAAGTCTTGCACTTAAGCCACTTTTAGAATGGCTGAATATGGTAAAGTGTTTGTTCTAAAGAAACGTTAGAAACACCATTTTTAATATATTTTTATTTATCGATTAAAATTATTTAAAGAATATAAAATGCATGTAAAAATAATTAAATTAAGTTTAATTTATATTTTTAAAAAAATTTAACTAATAATAAATAAAATGACAATTCCCTACCTCCCTTTAAATAATGAAAAAGCTTATGATGAAGGCAGATGACTTACATAGACGATGTCTTTGTGAGGAACAATCAATCATAGTAAGTAACAAAATTGATACTAAACAATGCAATTAAGAAAAGGCCCCTGCCAATTAAAAATGTTCATTATACTAATCTTAGCGAAGAAACCAACCTGAAATATCCATCATTTGTCCCGGCATTCTGTTCTTGTGTTCTTTCTTCGTGTCTCTTTTTGTTCCTCTTCTTTTCCTATGCCTCAAGTTGAATAGTAATGTCATAGGATGTGCAATTGAATAGACGACAGATTTGAATCCATTGTGATTCGATTATAAAGTGGTTTTTATCTAAACATCTTAAGATTAAAAAACGCACTTTTGAAAAATTAATGGATTTGGATTCTCTCCTTTAGTGGACAAAATTGAAGATTAAAAGGAGAATAATAATTAATTAAGAGTTTTATTGACTTTAATTCTTAAAAATAATTTTTATTAAAAATGTATTTATTATATTAAAATTATAAAAATGTAATAAATACTTTATTTTTTAATAAAAAATTTACTAGTTATAGATACATGAAAACGGAGATTAAACGTTTTATGTAAATTAGAAGAGGATTACGGTTTTGTTTAAAGAAAACAAATTGGACACCGTGGAGAAGTTGTGGACCTAGAGAAAAAAGATATCCTGAAAAAGAAAAGTTTGAAGGCGAAAAACACAATATGAACCCATGAATTTGTTAACATACAATATTAAATTGATATTAATGATGTTTAAACGTTTATAAATCAAAAGTATATTAGTTTTGTTACTTCAACTACTAAAAATTAACATCATAAATAATATTGATATAATTATTTTTATCTCTTACTTATTTGTTTTTTTATACATATAAATTTTTAAAACATACCATATATAAAACACACACACAAAAAAAAACAAAAAAAAAATAAGTGTTCACTTTTGGTGTTTACAAAATATTTTACATTTGATCATCGTCATATATTAATTTATTTTCTCACTACTGCTCAGGGAACGAAATGGGTATGTCATTGCAAACGGAGTTAAACGTAAAATCCTGAATTACAAGGCAATTGAACTGAGGTTTTATCAAAGGAAAAAAAATTGATTTCTCGAAAAGGAGTTTCTCGGTCTAAACAAACAACCTGTCACAGCAAGTTGTTTCCGCGTTTATCAGAACGGAATTATAATAAGCAACGGCTAAAAATATATATAGCACGGGTTATACGACGAATTGAAGACAGTAAGAGATAATTTTCAATTCCACAGAATCGATTTCCAGCTTCTCATAAACAGAGTGAGGTACTAGTTTTACTTTCTCGTACGAATTGCAATGGCCAAAGCACAAATTGAAAACGAGACTCGCAGCTTGAGACTAATATGTAGCTATTTACATAGATTGAACATGCATGCAATGGCCAAAGTACATAATGACAACGAATTTTTTTTAGTATTTTTATTAGGTTAAATTCAAAATTTTATCATATTAATTATCTATATAATAAAAATCAATATTTAAAATTATCAGAAATTATTAAAAGCAAAACTTTATTGTTACAAAAAAATTTAAGTAACTACACTTAAATTTTATCATTTAAATTAAATCAATGAGTGCGTGAGAAGAGCTGGTTACCTACGTAAGATTTGTGTGCTATTGAATAATTCCATCTTAAGAAGAGAATAATGCTAATATCTAAGATAAGGGAAAACGTTTAGGTGTTTTCATTTTGAGAGAAATAATAACATGATAAGTGATATAAGGTGGCTGAAAGAGAACCATAAATAAAAATAAAAGATGTTAAATAAGTGATAATAATATTGTGATGTATATATATATATCTTACTTGCTAATATCATTAAGGTGGACACATTTTTTATTGGAAGAAATCATTCATCAGTACAATCAACTTAAGACAATATCCTCAAGAGAGAAATTTATTAAAGGTGATCTCTTTCAACTCTTAAAGCAGTTGGATTTACAAAGCTGCTTCGAAAGACCATTTAAGAATGTCATGTGTTTCAACCAAATCACCCGTGGCGGCAGAGAAACCAACGATGACCCATTCCGGCAAAACAGTCCTCAGATCAATGATAGTTGAGACAGTGGCATTTCTATTATCCCTAGGGTAAACCAAAAACACACTCAATCTCTTTGACTCAGAGTTGTAATTTATGCTTGCCTGTGCTACAGCATTACCCGGTTCAACTTCACTTGGCCACTCCGCAGTTACCACTGACTTAACAGAGTCAATATCAATTCCAATATGAGGAAACTGAGATGGTGCATTGGGGTCCCAATCATTTGTAAAACTATCAAACTCAACAGCTACGACATGGTTCTTAGTTGGGTCCAACGCAGTTTCCGGGGTGAAAAGCCCAAGATAGCCACCAGGTTCTGCTTTGGGTAATTCTAGACCTGCTGGTGCAAGAAAGAAAGCAAATCCATCACCATGTAGTGCTGAATTATTGTTCACGACAAAGGAGAAATAGGTGGTGAAGTCAGCGAGATCTCCATTGTCTTTGCTCCAAAGGTGAATCGCTGTGAGATGCACCGCTCGGCCAACACTTCGTGGGATTGGTTTCCCAGCTGGGTCGGTTTTGGTTAACCGTATAACCCCGTCAGAGACAGAAGCATCTTCTAGCAAAATTATGTCTGGATTATCTTTCTCGAAAAGGGAGTAACTGAAACCAACGGTTTCATATGCTGAAAGTGGGGATTGCTGTGACTTGACGCTGTGATATTGTAGCAAGAGAAAAGGGATGAGGATTTTGATGAGTAGTGATTGGAGTAGTTTAGATTTTTTGTTGGAGAAAGCCATGTTGTGGTGCTCTAGACAGTGGGGTGATTGAGGTTATTTATAGGGCTGTTTTGGCCTAAAAAGGTTATAAATTACAATAAAATTGCTAAAATACGGCAACTTGCATATACTGTATTATGACAAGTATGTCATTCTCATTTCCAACTTAGTAAGGTGGACAAGCCGAGGAAATTGTGTAAAAGATTCACATATACCCTATATCGGTCCATGACATGTTGGTCAACAGAACTTTGGTTATCTCTTTTGAATATGCTCCCCAAGATATATTGGTGAGAAATGTTTGCAAAATGCATGAAAACTAGTTATCAATGGCATGGTACCGTGGGCAAAATAAAATAAAGATTGAGGAATATGCTAATCTATATGATATCGGGTGGCAACAACGTACAATTATGATTATTTTATATCAATTTTTTATATCTATATTTTTGTTTATTGTAAAACAATAGTTACGGTCGTCGTTAGGTTTATGCGGTCATAATTAACTTGTTTAGGAGAAAAATACATCAAGTTCTTCGAGAAGTACTTACGGCCTAATATTTTTAAAGTTTAAATTGATTTAATTTATTTAATTAATAATTTTAATTTTAAATTTTTTAAAAATTTAATTAATTAAATAAATTAAGTTTAAACTTGAAGAAAAATTTATTAAATTTATTAAAATAACTTATTTAAAATTTATAATAATATATTAAATTAATTAAATTTTAAAATAATAAAATTTTAAATTAAAAATTTTAATATTTTTTATTAGAGTCAAAAAATATCTTTATTATATATATCTAAGAGATAATTTTATTGAATGTCTCAATACATACATGTTTAGATAGTGTAATAACTTCTATTTCTAAGAAATTTTAATAATCTATTGAATGTCTCAATACGAAGTAAATGATTAAAAAGTTTAATAAATCAAATCAAAAATTTAAAAAAGTTAGACTATACTTAATAAAAAAGTCTATAATAAATAATAAACTAAATTTAGGCTTCAAAATTATTAAACAAATTAAACTTATTTATACAAAATTTAATCTAGCTTATTTTTAACTCTACTTTCGATAGCTATCTGCAAACTCAGATATAATTATAAGCACCCCATTGTGCATGTTGTGTTATAATTTGCAAATTCTTCATTACCGACGGATAGAGAGAAAATGGAAAAAGAAATATTGGCAAGTTAAATCATCGTTTAGTTCATCTATAAGAGCCTTTTGTCATCATGCAGGAAAGTGAAACATGAAGAAAAAATAAAATGAAATTAAAATAGTAGATAATTTATTGTTGAAAGAAAGTAAGTATTGCAAAAGAAAATGAAAGGAAATAAATAAACAGTTGAAATTTTATATGAATTAAAAAATAAAATTTAACTTCAAATATATTATTTTATTTTAATATAATTTTTATAACTTTTTATACTATGAAAATAGTTTTATTTTTATGAATAATTAACAAGGAAAAGTTACCCTCCACTACCCATATCCTTTCATACATTTTCATGCATTTAAATGATAAAAATATACTTTTGCTTTTTTATTTTTATTCTTATGATCTCTTTTTCCCTTCTCATTTTATTCAAAATAAACATACTGTTTGTGTTAGAGGAAATATTTCACACATAAAACTAACGACATTACATTAAAACACATTTTACTAATTTCCCTTCGCTAATAATTATTTAATTACAAAATATTATTAAAACAAAAGGATTTTAAGAAGTCCACCAAATGTAAGATTTATCGAAGTCCACCAAATGTATTATTATATGAGCATCTACTAATTACCTTAGTTAATAATTGGAAACACAAATTCTAAAGGATGAACCATATATGACATCAAATTTATATTATATTTTATTTTAAAACACTATTTTTAAAATAAAAATCAAACATACTCGAAATTTTCATAATTTTTCAAAGAGTTTCATAAGTTGTAAAACCATTAGAAACCCCTTGGCTCGAGGATTGATGCATGGTGAATGTTGAGTTCGTTTAAGCTTTTGAAAAAAGCAGTGCTTTTATAGTATGGCTTCTTTTATCTTTTTCGTAAAGCTATATATTATTATAATTCTTCAAACATACTTTCAATTTAAAAAGTGCAAACAAACGGGTTTTAAATAATTTATTCTCACGTGTGGCACGTAATAATCACCACACAAAAAAAATGTTAATTAATTAATAGAAAAATTAATTCTCTATTATTAATGAAAGAAAAAAATTAAAATTAAAATTAAAATAATAGAAAAATCAATAAATATAGGATATAAAAATTAACTATTCATCCTGCCCACTCCAATTTAAAAAATCACATAGATTAAATCCTCTAATTTGTGAGATAAAGAGTTTACTCCAATCAATAAATTCTTTAAGACTATCTCATAACTTTGTTTAAATGGTGTGAAATAAATAAAAATAAATAGACAAATAAATAATGAAAATTAAGTAAAAAAATTATTTAAATAAGTTAAAAAAGGAAGAAAATGATAAAAGAAATTAATTTTACTTATTTAAGTAAATAAAAAAAGTAAAAAAATTAAACTATATTAAAAATTATAAATAGATAAAATAATATTTTTATCTTATTTTAAAATAATTTAATTTAAATATTTATATTATAAAAATATTATTTAATAAATAAAAATTAAAAACCTCTCCGATATCTCTCTCCACCTTCCTCTTTCTTATAAACAATAGATTAGTTATGTTCTTTTTTTTTTATTTGTTTTGATTTTGATTTGATTTGAGTCGCACACTTAAATGTAGTGTGTGAATTTACTATTAAATTTTTTTTGCATACACATAAACTTAAGTTCAAAATCTTATATAAGTAATATCAAGTTACTTACTACTTGAACCAAACTCTATTAGTTATTAGTTCTACTTTATCTAATCATACTGTATCGTTTATAATATTAAATACAATAGAATATTACTCCTCTCCTCTCAATTGTTTTGATAAAACTCTTTTAATTAAATTACATAAATTCAAAAAATTGTTAAATATAGCTAATGTATTCATTTTAAAAATAATTATAATATTTTAAGTTGATTCCTAATTAAAGTTAAAATCCATTATTATTTTTTAAAAAAGTTTAATAATAAAAGATAAATATGTAAAGAATATTATATTAAACATCAATAAAACTATTTTAAAAATGATTCATAAAACCAAGAATATCATTATATGTTTCTCAGTTGTTAATAATATGAACCGGAAAGAGTATCTTCATTCATAAATTTAAGACAATCCTTTTCAGGGAAACAGGAAATTGAAACATGACAACAATAACAAAATCCACTTATTCAGGAAGAAACAGAAACAGAAACATAAACAACAATAACAATGACAAATTCTGAATTACATGCACTTTATTCTCCACTCCGGGCTGTGCTGTTCTACAAGGAGGAACTGAAAGACCACGAAAGAATGTCATTTGTTTCAACCAAGTCGCCAGTGGTACCAGAGAAACCAACAAACACATATTCAGAAAGAACACTCGCAAGATTAACAGGATACGACAAAACAGAGGCATTCAACCTCACAGGACTGTTTGGATAAGATACCGCAACACTCAAGAGTTTTGATGCAGATTCATAGCTTATGCGTGCCTTTCCTATTGCTCCTTGTGGTTGACTTTCACTTGGCCATGGCACAGTTACAGAAGACCTAATGGAATTGATGTCAATTCCTATGTGAGGAAAATCAGACACTGGGTAGTTAGGGTCCCATTCGTTTGCAAAGCTATCAAACTCAACAGCGACAACTTGGTTTTTGGAGGTGTTGAAGGCTGTTTCTTCGTTGAAAAGTCCGAGGAATCCACCGCTTGAATTGTCTGGGAAGTCAAAGTCTATTGATGAAATAAAGAAGGTGAAGCCATCACCATGAAGTTGTGCACCCTTTGGGTTCACAACAAAAGAAAACTCTGAGGTGAAATCTGCGGTTTTCCCAGTTTTTTTGTCAGAGAGATGAATTGTTCCTACGAATGCAGCGAGGCCAACGCTGTGTTGGGTTGGGTTACCGTATTGGTCCTTTTTAGTCAGTTGTAGTACTCCACCTCGTGTGTTAGCATCACCGTCCACTACTATGCTTTTAACACCTGCCTCAAAACTTGGGAAGTTGAAATCAAATGAGTCTGACTTGACAATGGTAATTAGCGAGAGGAAAAAGATTAGGGTCACGAGGGAAATGGAGAATGGGTTTTGTGTTGCAAACTTGGAGTTAGCCATCGTTGTATTTTTGTGAATGATGCATGGAGAGGGGAGAATGCAGGTATTTATATGTAAGATCTTGTTCTGAAGGATGCTTAGGAAAATTAAATAATTGAGCAATACATTTGGCCAGACTAGGCAGAGAAATTACATAGTTTGGTCTTCGTCAAACATGGGCGAAAAGGGCGAGGAAGCTTTGTTATGAAATGTAAACTATCAGATTCATTTGTCCACTAGTTTTTGGACGTCACATTTGTCTACTCAGGATAGATTTGGTTTGTTTCAAACAATTTAATCTGTGCCAAATTTTGGGATTAATGAACGATGATATTTTCGATGAATAAGATACAGCTAATTAGAGTGGTAAATAGTGAAGGGAAAGCCAAGTAAACGAAATGTTTATAGAGTATTACCTAGTTATCAACTGAAAAAACTATGTTTCATTCACACAATGAATTGACTTTTGTTTTGTTTTGGTCTGATATCAGTAATTTTGTGTTTTTATTTTTGGTCAAGGTTACCATTAGTTTTGTGAGTAAAGCCAATAAACAAGTGGACAAGAAAAGGGTCTTTACCCATTAGCCCATATACACTAGACCCAGTAATTGTGATTATTTTTAAGAAAGCCTAGCCCGCTATTGTTAAGTAAGGCCTAGCCATTAATCACCGTGGACCTCCTTTGCCGCTCAAACCCACCATGATCCACGTTTTAACTTTTTTTTTCCCCCTCACCTTCTGGAAATGATTTTGAGAGTTCAATTTTAGATTAGGGTTTCTGCTGCAACCACACTCCCTCTCAGAATCTGGTTCTGGTGATTCAAGAAACCCCAATCTCTCATGCACACACAAAAAAAAAAGAGAGTTTAATTTATAAAAATAACTAATATCTGTCGAAATATTATTTCCAAAAAAATATAAAACAAAAGTGGAATAGTTCCAAAAACACTACAATGCAAAAAGAATTTCCCTTCAACCTCGTCATCTACCAAGCCCTTGAGTTTTCTAGGGCACACTTTTTTTTTATTCATTTCGTTTGGCATAGTCTTTTAATGAAATTCATTTTTTACTTGTTTCCTCTTTTTAATTTTTTTTTAATAAATTCATTCTAATAAAAAAAATGGCTATAAAATTTATTGTACGGTTCTCCACCATTAAGTAATGTATGCATCATAAGAATTTGTGTATAATTATATCATATTGAATCTTGTATATTATATCCTCTTCTTTAAAAAAAATAAAGGAAAACTAAAAGTAAAAATATCACGTTTTTTTTTCATCTGAAGGACCATATTTGATTTCTGTTTTAAAAAAAATTTCTGTTTTTAAAAATAAAATTTAATACAAAAATTTGCTTAAATATTATTTATATTGGTTTTTTTTGGGAGTTTTATATTGTCCTATTTATTTTAGTCATTACACTACTTATATATTTATTTTAATTTTAAATTAAATATTTAATATTTATAAAAACAAAAAATCAAAAATCTTGAAACTGTAATTTATTTAAAATGTATTTTTTCAGAAAAAATCAAAATTTCAAAAAAACATTCATATAAATTTTAACCTGTTATTATGGCATGTTACATTTTATGAGTTAACTAGTTTAACAATTAATATATTAAATAAATTTGATTAAATAAAACAGTTTCACGACTTTCAGTTAGGACAAAATTTAAACGTTGTTTTTAAGTTTTTTTTTTTATATTTTTAATCAAAAAGAGTTTAATCTTAATAATCTTTGACAACATCAAATTTTGATAGGTTATTAAAGTGAAACTTTAATTATAATTTTAAAATGTCATCAGAGATATTTCTTAAAACATTATACCTAAACTTTTAATAACTCAATGAAAAAATCAATTTTCAAACTTAAATTTTTAACGTAGCATAATAGATTATTTTTATCTATTATATTTATTACATCAATTCTTGCTAACTAAGTATTCAAGAGGCATAGATTAAAGAATAAAATATACACTTTTTATTAAAAATTAGAGTAGATTGCATGAAAAATTATAGAAGATACATTAATAACATTTCAAACAAAAAAAATTACTTTTAAATTCTTAAGTCACTGAAAAAATCTGTTAGCATTTACCTAGTATATATATTAGTAGTTTTTCATGCAATTTATAAGTATCATTAAGTTGAATTTTTTAAATAAATAGTTAAAAATATATTATTTAACTATTTTAAATTTAATAAAATTTAAAAAATGTTAGGCTTAAATATATTTTTAGTTCATACATTTTAGTAAATTTCAATTTTAATTTTTATATTTTAGTAAATTAATATTTTTAATCTCTCTTATTGACGTGATTCAGCTAGAAACTTATATTTAGCAGCCAAATTCAAATTAAAAATTCATAAAAATATAAAGGACAACACAAAAAATAATTTGAGGAAACTAAAACAAAAAAAATTATATATCACAAAATATATTTAAGCCTAGATATTATATTATATTGCAAAAAAATTCAATTTAATATTATATTAAAAAATAAATACACAATATAAAAAAATCATTTAACATTAAAAAATATCAATCTCTAAAAACACTATAACTTAAAGATCCAGTTAAAATTGACTCATTCAAGTATCTCTCACGTGTAAACACCCAAAACTCTCCAGCAAATAATATCATATCCATTAATTAAAACATGAAAGAGATTCATAGCTCTGAAGCAACACTCTATTGTCTTCTCCCAGCTATGCTAGTCTACAAGGAAAAAGTTAAAGACCAGGAAAGAATGTCATGTGTTTCAACCAATTCCCCAGTGGCAGCAGAGAAACCGATTATCGCCCTTTCCGACAGAACAGTCGCAAAATCAATCGGATACGATAAAGTAGTAGCATACGATTCCACTGCACTAGTATTTTGATAAGTTACACTCACACTCAATAGTTTTGACACAGATTCATATGTTACGCGTGCTTTTCCTATTGCACCTTGTGATTGACGATCGATTGGCCATGGCACAGTTGCAACAGATCTAATGGAATTGATGTTGATTCCTATATGAGGAGAATCAGACACTGGAAAGTTGGGGTCCCATTGGTTTGCAAAGCTATCAAATTCAACAGCCACAACTTTGTTTAAGGAAGTGTTTAAGGCTGTTACTTCGTTGAAAAGTCCAAGGAACCCGCCACTTGAATTGTCAGGGAACACAAAATCGAGTGATGCAAGAAAGAATGTGAAGCCATCAGCATGAGGTTGTGAACCCTTTGGGTTCACAACAAACGTGAACTCGGTGGTGAAGTCTGCGATTCTGCCGCTTGTTTTGTTAGAGAGAGGAACTGTTCCGAAGAAGCCAGCTAAGCCAACACTGTGTGGAAATGGGTTACCATATTGATCCTTTTTAGTCATTTGTAGTATTCCACCATTAACGTTGGCATCGGTGTCACTGTTGACAGCTATGTTTTTATTACTTGCCTCAAAACTAGGGAAGTTGAAAGAAACTGAGTCTGATTTGACCTTGTTAATTACAAGGACCAAAAAGATTAAGGTTGTTAGGAAAATAGCGAGGGGGTTCTGAGTTGTGAGGTTTAGTTTTGACTTGGAGTTAGCCATGATAACGTCGTTATGAATATGCATAGGGTGAGGGGTGTGTGGCTGTTTATAGGCTCTTCTCAGTTTTGAAGGATGTTTAGGAAATTAAATAAAATTAATAAACGGTACATTTGGCCAAGCTAGGCAGCGGAATTGCACGGTTTGGTCTTTCGTCAAACATAGGCGAAAAGAGCGAGGAAGTTTTTTGGTGTAAAATAGACTATCAAATTCAGTCCAGAATATGTCTGTCTACATGTTCTTGGACGTTACTTTTTGTCCTTATTTAAGAGAGATTTGGTTTGTTTCAAATAATGTATGCCATTTTTCAGAGATTAATGAACGATGTGGTTGTCAATTAATAAGATACAGGTAATTAGAGTGATAAATAATATAACTAACTAGAAACAATTTCTCATGTACTATTAATAATATTTTTAAATCAAATAAATCTACATGTATAAATTAAAGAAAAAAAATATGTATTTTATTGTTAATAATAAATATTTTATTATCATTTAACACATAAATCAACCTGCGTCGAGTCGTTCTAGTTTAACATTTAATCTTGAATTTGAATACCAATAAATAAATCATTTAACTTTTAAATTATTTTTATCCGAGAATAAAAAGGATAATGAAATGAGGCCAAGTAGACAAAATTTTTATCTTATACATATAATCCAACTATTTTGATTAACTCTCTCATTTGTGTATAAGTTTTTTTTTTTCATTAATTTTTGGGTCCAAGTTTCATTCATGGTGTTATTATTTTTTTGTGTAAAATTCCATCAAAGCGTGAATTGGTTAATTTTATCAAACTGGTGGACAAGAAATGGATCATTATTAGCCCACATAAGTTTCATTAATTTCAATCATTTTAAAATGTTATATAGATAAATATAAAAAGAATCTAAGTCCTGAGAAAAAGTAAAACTACATTGAATTGATCCTGCTGAGTAATAAGGACCCTAATATATTGCCAAGAAAAATATTAAGAAACCGATAAAAAAAAATTGTGAATTGACTTTTATAAATAATTATCTCACTTTTAATTAGTTCAATTTCTAACCTATACACCGTGTCATATATATATATATATATATATATATATAAAGTTTTTATTGAAATTTCTAACATTTAATAATATCGATGTAAAAAATTATGTATGTTTCTAGTTGCGTGTTGTATGATTTGTGTGTAATTGTGAGCACACATGTAAGTCTAATGCATATCATAAATAATTCATTCACTTTTATACAAGCACATATCAAGCCCAAGAAATAGATCTCTCTATTTTTTTCAAAGAAAATGGAAAATTTTCTGTTTATTAAAAATTTTGAAAACATTAATAAGTTTATAATAAAATGTGTTGTAATAATTTTATTGTTTAAATAAAAAAAATAGACAAAAAAAAATGAAGATGATCTGAACTCCAGGCCCAAAAATTGATTGGTTTGCAGCTACTTATGTGGTGGTGAGAAGTCCAGTTTGTACCATGCTTCTCTTTTTTGGATCTGGACCATGCTTGTTAGGGGTATGGGTATTGTCTTTTTCATATGGGCCCAATGATTCTACTCAACTTGTAAAGTTGAGGTCAGATCTTGCGGTGGAGTCAATTCCAAAGTTAACAAAGTCTACTCTCCCTGAATATCCAAAGGGGGAACCAAAAGGAAGTTCTTTAATCTCTCAAAAGTCTAATGAACTTAACACTCCCAGATCCTTTCTTGCTGAAGTTAGACCAAAATCTGTCATGAAAGATAGGCAGATCATAAAGACGCATTATGTTTAGATGGGCAACTCCATTTTCAGGGAAGAAAGAGATGTAGAAAGAAAACCAAGATAGAAAAAAAATGATGGATGATATAATAATAATTAAATGTTTTCATGTTAATAAATAATAAGATATATTTTTATCAAATAAGGATTCACAATGATTAGTTGTAAGTTCCTCTAATTAAAGTTGATTTAAAAATTTATGTCTTTCACTCTTTAACATAATTGTATCATGTTACTTGAAGATCAAAATCTGAAAAGAAGAAGAAGAAGAAAAAAGAGATAAGAAGAAAAAGAAGGTAAAAAAAAATATAATAAAAAGAGGGGGTGAAAATATAATTGTTGATATTCAACTGTAAATGCATGAATATCCTCTTACATAGAGACCAATATCAGCGTTACCAACTTCTGTTGCTATACCGTGAAAATTTCTGACCATTCTAGTTCATCTACTTTGTGATTCCGGACACCAGTGTCTACTACTCAATACCAGTAGATATTGTCATCGTTAACCAAACGGTTTCAAACATTTTGTGGTGCAAAATGATTATTGTCTTCTCTGCAAAATTCTTTGAAATATCTTGTTCCTGTACATTTCAAAACTTTATACCTTTTCCAATGAGTTGTGAATAAACATCCTATAATTTCAAGTTTCCACGAGACACTCGTATTTATTCCAACGGGATTGTCTTCTAACTTAATGATATTATTTATGTCAATAGTGACTTTATGTTCTTTCACCTGTTCTAACTTGAATAAACTTCCTTCTGCCTAAAATTTTGGTTGAATTATTTTACTGTTGTGATTTTCTCTTCACAAGCTTTGCTAGATAGGATGCTTGCAAAAACACAAATGTTATTTTGGATTCACATTAATTATTTTCTATATATTTTAGAGTTTTGTATAATAATAAAATTTTATTAGAAATTAAAATATTTATTGTATTTTTATAATTTTAATATAATAATTATAATTTTTTATAAATTTTTTTTATTTGTAGATGTTTAAACTCAACTCTTACGACTGGTTAACAAAATTCTATATTTTATCTTATCGGTTAAAAAATTAAATTTAAATATATTTAAATGTTAATTTAAAATTAATCTTTATAAAAAATATTCTAACTCTATTTTTAGTTAATATAAAATATTTTAACACATCTTCCATGCTTGCGTGTCATTCAAATATAAACATTTAATGTATAAAGTTTTAAAGATTAAATATTTACAACTCGCCTCTCATTTAAACAATATAAATTTTAGTATTATATTAAAAAATTAAACTTAATTCAATTTTAAAAGTTTAATTATAAGAAAAGGACTATCCATCATTTATAAGGAGTATTCTAATTTTATTAATAACATAATTCAATCTTTATATTTTAATAATATTTTTTTTATAAAAAATATATTATAATACATTGAAATTTTTTTGTAATTTAATATTAATAAAAACATTGTGAAAAAATACGTATGAAGCTCATGTGGACTGAGTAAAACAAAAACTCAATTAGAAGCCTAGAACACATGCATAGTCAAAAGCAGTTTTAAGATCAAATATCCGAAATTAGCCCAAATTGGCAAGCTAACTTGAAAAGTGTAAGAGGGAGCACAAATTTGGATGCCTTTAACATGAGTCTAGCTTTACTCATTTGTCGTTTTTTTGGCACACGAAGAACTTTATCTCGACGTCAAGGAAAGTGAACTTATATACGCCTCCGTTTAACATTAACTTTTGGGTTGACATAAAAAAAAAAGGACTTCTGGGAATCTCTTTAGTTTGGCAGCTATTTCATGGTCATAGAACTAGTAAACTGGATAACCATACCAATAACATAGAATTATCTGATGTGTGTGTATGGGAGAGAAAGAGAAAGAGATCTCTGGGTACCTCCTTATTTCAAATTTGGATTTGAAAAATTAAAGAATTGAATAGTTCAGTTCTAGTTGATCATAAATATCAGTAATGTATGTAATTTAATGCCGAATATGTTCTCCACATAACATGCTCCTTTTTCTAGCTCTCGAAGTAAAGTTTGTTAGCATTAACTAAATCATTTTAGACGTTTAGAAAGTAATTAGGCCCAGCCAGTCTCTAAAGTAGATCCTTGTCCTAAACTTTTATACGTATATATATGCTGGGAAAGTAAGAGTTTATGAGGCCTAAATTAGCGTTTTCTTTTATCTAGGAGGGCTAGAGATATTCAAAAAGTCTACTGAAATTAAAAATGAAAAGCTTCTTTCCAAGAGACATATGGTCAAGCACATAAGAACCTGCTCATGTCACCTCCCAAAAGCATGATAATGATTCTTGGAGCCAAAAATAACCCCATTAAGAGCCTAGGAGTTCAGCAAGAATCTAGAGATTTATACATATATTCAATGGACTTAACAAGGAATCATATTAATGGGTTAATTTAAACTATATCCTTATCTAAAAAAATTAAGATAGATTGTTTAGGAAACTTTTGACTTTAATGGACTTCACTTTCATTCATCTTCAATGCAAGACTTCTTTACTTCACGTTCCACACACTCACATTGTTTTTCTAGTATCTATGTATTGTATCGCCTATCCAAACCAATGGAAAATAAGTCATCTAAAATCATTCTTTAAGAATTAAAAAAAAATAATGAAACTCACATTATGAATCATTTTATGATTTCTTTCTTTCTTTCGATTCATATATATAGTGACGGGAAAATACAGTCATCAAAATGTGAAATAATCAACCCATCCATGTTGTAAATTATCTCCTTAACTCATTTTTAGTTAAAACAGATTTAATACTAGTTTGTCCCCCTGAATTTTCCTCCATCCACGTTAACTAATTAGGGTTATTTCATAACTATATAAAATTAATTTTTAAAATTTCAATATTCGTTTTAAAATAAAATTTGTAGTTGAAATTAAATTTAATACGTATTCTAATCGTATTTAATGTTCAAATTTAATTTTGTTTAACTTAAAATAAACAGATCGTAAATGAGATCCTAATTCAGCAATTGTTTAATCGTAAGATGTAATTTCACACTTAAGTTTAGAGATTCTATATTTGTATTGTGAAAGCCAAGTGAAAAGATTGATGATTATGAAAAGTATAGTGAGGTTTCTTGAGTTAGCTTTCAATAAGTTGACTGATACCAACAAGGAGGATAATGAGTTAAAATAAAATGGTTGAATTTCTGAGCAGCTTAATCAGTGGTTGTTTTCAATAGACCACTAAGCCCTTCAAAAACTACGAGGAA